TGTACAAAAAGGGCATTAATTGCATTCTCGCCGATGAGATGGGCTTAGGAAAGACTATTCAAGTGATTGCGTTCTTCGCGTATTTACGAGAAAGGAAAGCCGTAAGGGGTCCGCATCTGGTGATCGTCCCGGCCTCGACTCTGGAGAACTGGAGCCGTGAGTTTCAGACGTGGTGTCCGGACATCAACATATTGCTGTATTATGGCCATCAGGATGAGAGGGCTATGATTAGGGAGCAGATCTCCAAAAACGAGATCGATTTCGATGTAATCATCACTTCATATACTATAGCGCAAAGTCCGGGAGATAGGTCTCTGTTCAAGAAGAGTCGCTTCAAGTACTGTGTCTTCGATGAGGCCCACTATCTCAAGAACATTAAGAGCACCCGATATACGGCACTCATGAACCTTAAAGTGTGTTGAAAATGCATTTTATCTCTCATTCCTTGAAACCAAATCTAATTGTTTGCAATTCAGGCCAAACATCGATTACTACTGACGGGAACTCCACTTCAGAACAATTTGGTAGAACTCATGTCTCTATTGATCTTCACGATGCCTCACATGTTCTCCGGCAAAACGGACCAAATTAAGACTTTGTTCACTTATACCAATGTATGTCTCATTCAGATATTTGACTCCTTTTTGGTATAAATGGTTGATTTCTTGCAGAAAGAGTCCACTCATCGCATCACTTATATCAGCGAACGCATAGAACAGGCGAAGAAGATTATGAAACCATTTGTGTTAAGACGGCTTAAGAGTGAAGTGAGTCTTTGAGAAATGAGTTCAGAAATTATCTTTAATTATGACTTCATGTACGCTCAGGTGTTGCAAGAGTTGCCCCCAAAGATAGACAACGTCCTGAACGTACCGATGAGTTCGGAGCAAGAACTCAAATATGCGGATCTCATTGAGAACTATACGCGAGAAATAAAGTATAAGAAAATCACTTTTGAAGACAATGAGAGCGAAGAGAAGTTCAAGAGTGGGAACTCAATGCTTATGGATTTGCGGAAAGTGGCCAACCATCCCTTACTCATCCGTCAGCACTACGACGACAACAAACTGAGACTAATGTCCCAACAGATGCTTTCGGAGCACAGGGCTAAAGGGCACAGGGAGTCACTCCCGCAGTACATATTCGAAGACATGCAAGTGATGCACGACTTCGAGCTGCACCGCCTCTGCAAACAATACACGTCTTTACGTCACTTTGAGTTAGAGGACAGTTATATCGAGGATTCGGGCAAATTCCAGGAGTTGGACAGTTTGCTCACCAGATATCGGTTGGAAGGCAAACGAGTCCTACTGTTCAGTCAGTTCACAATGATGTTAGACATCATCGAGGAGTTTATGAAACTCAGATTTTATCACTATTTACGACTCGACGGCACCACCAAAGTGGCCGATAGGCTCGACCTCATCGACCAATACAACAACGATTCCGAGCTCTTTGTGTTCCTACTGTCGACTCGCGCGGGCGGTCTGGGCATCAATCTGACGGCTGCCAGTGTTGTCATCATTCACGACATTGACTTCAACCCGTATAATGACAAACAGGCGGAGGACAGGTGTCACCGAATCGGACAGACGAAGGAAGTCATTGTCTATCGACTGATCAGTCAGAACACCATCGAGGAAGGGATGCTTAAGATTGCGGAGGAAAAGCTCAAACTCGGCAGAGATATATCAGCGCCTGATCAGGGTTTGTGTTATTCAGTCATTCATTTGATTTTCACATTACTTATGAATTATTGGTTCAATAATAGGAGCGAACGATGAAAAAGAGGAATTGATGGAGAAGTCGGACGTTAAGACACTTCTAAGAGCTGCTCTAAAGTTATGATGAGTTACCGGTATTACCGTAATAGCATAGATAATTACAAATGAATTGTACAGTTTACAATGTCATTATTAACATTATTTGTATTGTCATACAGTATAATATTGAATACAATTTATTACATTATAGAGAACAAGGAATGCATTAAAATTATTAACACTATAGTTATTTATAAGTGTATTATAAGACCGTATTTTAATTATTTTTTTAAAGCTCATAGATATTTGGAATAAATTTCTATTATATTTCCATAAATTAGTGTTTAATTTACGGCAAAAACTCCAAAACGTATTGTTTGACAGACGGCGGGAGCTGTAGTTTATTGATATTCTGCGCTAATTCTCGTCCCATCGCGTGATATATGGTATTCCTGGCGATACTCTTAAGCGATCGCGGATTAGATGAAAGATTCCTCAAGAGTGATGTCAACTCTTGCGAATTGCATCGAATGGAACCAATGAGTA